GAACCGGGCAGTCTAAAAGCGCTCAGCAATGCGGGCGGCGGTCCTTTCGAATCAAGGAAGGCGGGAATTTTAAACCGTACGTCCCTGATCGGATGGCCCATGCTGTGCACGTTGTACTAATGGCTGTCGGGATCAAACAGGCACTTCCCCTAACCAAGAAGATAAGAAGGTCCGACGATACATTCGCGCCCGCGGCGCGATCTCCGAACAGGGTGGTTACCAAGCACACCTGTCAGCACTTGCCTATATCACCGACAGCTATTTCATCGGTACCATCTCGCTTGTCCACGATATCCCGCGATTTTCCTCCCCGGCCGAACTCGAGAAACTTCTGAACGCACTTAAGAACCCATCTGATCTCGACGATGAGGATATCACGCGAGCTCTGAAGGAATTGAAAGAAGAGGAGGCTGCCGAATTGCGTCGCCGTTTGGAGGGGGCCTTGAACAGGGCCACGACGGGTAAAAATGAGGCAGATCATAAAGAGCTTGGCATGATGGTTAGCCTGGACCATTCAATTTACTTCCACAATCCTCGGGCATTCCGTGCCGATGAGTGGATGTTGACGGAGATGGAGAGTCCGTGGGCTGGCGAAGGGCGAGGCTTGGCAATTCAGAAGATTTGGTCTAAGGATGGGCTGCTTATTGCTACTTGCACGCAAGAGGTATGTATTTGCTTTTTTTCTTTCTGTTCATTGTAGGGCTTAGTGCTAACTCTATCATAGGGTGTGGTCCGGTTAAAGCAAGACAAGCCGCCACTATCGAAGATTTAGAAAGCTTGTGTTATACCCCTACTTTGGAGTTATATCGCTCCTATCACTTTCTCTTCTTTTCACATATCTTCATTTATAGATTTGGGCTGAGTTCCCCTTGACTTCCTGTGGTTTTTCTTTGTACTGAGCTGGCCCTTCTTAGCTATTTTTCGACCGTATGAGCATGTTATAATTCAATAGAACCAATCAATCTGAAAGCCTTAATACACAGTCTTCACAGTTAACAAACCAGAAAACGCAAAAGTAGAACACAGTCAAGGAACAAAACGAACAGAAAACAACTTTTGCGTTGTTAAAAAAAAAGCCGACCCAGTTTTGATCTTCCAGAGTCAAAATTCGAACAAATAAGATATTACAAAGTCCAATCAAACCTCAATTCGCTCATTTTTCTCCTTGTCATTCCCTGTCTTTTCATCGCCAACCCGTTTCCGATAATACTCCAAGACCTTAGCCCCCCAAACATCCCTCCCCCTTGTACTCACCCACATGTTCCGGCCAACTCCTCATTTCCTTGGCAAGATTATCCAGCTCAGCCATTGGAAGCTCATCCAGGGGCGTGAGATACGTCTTGACGCCGAAGACGATCGCCCCTGTTCGTGGCAGTCGACGGAAAGTCTGCCTCTCGCGGCGGATCAGGATATCTGATGGCAGTGGGCTGGTCAACTCTTTCTCGCAGAGGGAGCCAGGCCGGTAGAGGATCTCGGTCAGGTTCTCGTTTGGTCCTTTGATTTCCACGAAGAAGTTTGAGCGTTCCATTGGAGAGGTTGGGGTCAAGCGGGCCAGGAATCTGGGAATTGTTAGTTTATTGTTTTTTCTGTGTTTTCTTTTTTGCGGCTGTTCAAGCTGGTATGAGTTGAGGATCACTTACTTGCTGACGGAGTTGGCGACTTGTTGGTGCCACAGTGGCACAGGGCCATGCAGTTGAGAAATGGTCCAGCCGATTCTCTGGTTCACTGTCCACCCCGTTGGAAAGAGACTGGCGCTAGCTGCCCTGTGTTGGTGTTAGTGTTGACACATTTGCTTTCATGTGGGGGTTTAGACATACAGGTAAAATTCTCCTTCCTCGTTCATCATCAAAATACTGAGATCCTCCATCGTGAGACGCACAGCAGCCTCAAGTGCCTCGGTTAATCCCTCGTTGGTGTCGCGCCCACTGACAGTGAATTTGTCGCCAGTCATGCGATTGTCGACCATCTTTCGACCGTCTTGAATTGACATTTCGAACATATTGGGGAATCTTTCGCAAAGAAAGTCTGAAACTTCCTCCAATGCCTCCTGGCATGGATCAATTGACTCGGGCAAACAGCGCAGGACCTCTTCTCTTTTGTCGTGAAGCAATTGGGTCCGGACCCGATGTTCATCCATGTAGTTCTTATCGAGGGTGAGCCAATTCTGGGCGTCGAGTTTGCGAATGTCCATCATGACACTGTATCGCTGTCGGCCTTTAATAGGCTGCGCTGGGTATGGTGCCATGCGCTTGACGTCGGATGGATTGGGGACATTTTTTGAGCAATATTTCCCTTTCAAGTTGTGTGATAACCATTGAAGCAGTTGTTTTTGATGTCTGACGGCAAAAAGAAAGACGAAGATTGGAATCGCAACTAGTGAGAAGGTTGTCATACTTTTTCCAATCAAAGTTTCCACGTATAGATCGTTGAGAAGGTTTTCTCTTTCAAATTAAAACGACTAATCAAGAACGCTCAATGTCAATGAAAGGGAAAATGAAAGTAAAAAAGAAAAGTGAAGATGATGAACTACAAACTAGACTAGACGATATAAATACAATTTTCAAGATGGGCTATGAAGTCACCATCGGGAAACAGGCAGCAAAGTAGAAGATCACCAGACGATGATTCTCAGCTTCACTAGTTTCAGTCAAAAGAAGGATAGCTCCAAGGTATGGCAGCTGCATTCCACATGCCTCATTCAGCGAAGTTGTGCCTGCGGAACTGCTGTGATACGCCCAGGGATTCCCCGCAAAAAAAAAAGTCAGAGTTCACCGGGGAGTACTGCCCGCCACATGATCTCAAGACGTATTTTTTTATTTTATATATTATTTCCAAAAGGTCAAGAGTGGGAACTTTGACATTCAGGGCTGTGCACAAACAATCAGCTCCGAGTGTGTATGAGTGGAGATGGATTACAACTAAACCTTCTCTAACTGGTTGTTGATCTCTTACCAGCCCGACAAGAGTACTTCGAAAACTATCTGGGCCCATAGCTGCTTCGCGGATCAATTCCGTAGACCGGCCTTCCACGATCTAGACACAGAATACCGTATTTAGCTTCAAACAATCGTCAAGCTCGTTTATTACGGTCCGTGCACCCTATGAACCGCCAGGGCTTGCCGACTCGAAACAATTCTCACCCGAATAACTACTATGTAGACTTCGGATATCATCGGCGAGACAGATAAAATCAAGAGTTGATTTCGAACCGCGTAAGGCGCTCGCCAGCTCATGAGTACCCAAACTCCGAGAGTACCGGATGTTTAATCTGGGGTCACGCAGGTCCGGGCTTCACCTATTAATCATTGCCGTGTGGAAGAGTTTAGTGATATATGAGATCTGACTGGCTCGGGGATGGACCGGGGGGCCCGATCTAGTTCAGGTGCACATCACATCCGAGCTAAGTAGATGGGCACATGGATTTAGTTCTGACGTATCATAGTCATACCCTTCGTGTGGGGGGTGGACACCGGGGGGCTTTTTCTGGCTTTCTGGCTTTCTGGCTTTTTTTCTTTTCTTTTTCCTCCAACGGGTCTGGGTCTCGTTCGTCACATCAGCCCCGATTCAAAGATAGGATTACTACGAGGCGTTCGTTTTTCCTTGGCTTTATTGGGCTAACAATGTCATATGTCATTTGCATTGGACACACTAACACCACTTAACATAATAATAAATTAAAAGTAAATTATTAAAAAGTTGTCTTACTCTCGATCACCAGGCCATAATTTACCAAAATACTTGGAGGCTCCACAGACCCCATCTGGGGTTCCCGCTGCAACCGCAACAACAACCCCTTTCGCGCAAAGCGCGTTTGCCGCTATTATTCTTTATTTTTTTTTGGCTCGGACCTGATGAACATACGTTTCTTTCTATTTTCCGGGTCTCGGCTTAGATTAATTCTGACATTTTAGAATTGTCTTATTCCCTGCTCTTTTTTTTCGCCTCCTCGTCATAGCCTCCCCTGTCCATATTCTCACACAGACCACCAAGACCAGGATCGGATCGATCTACAAAGCATAATAGATTTTCGCCACCGCTCATGATCTTCACGAACTTGTTTACGCCTTTCATTCATAACTATGGAGTAGATGAGTGGGAAATGCTGTACATATTATTCCGTACTACTCCGCACAGAATCCTTCCATTACTACATAATTGACTAGTTCTTAATCTATTACATCCACACGGGCCAATCAATGCTCCCAGCTAGACATAATCCAAGATTTTGGTAGAGTCTAGACCTCGACTACATCCATCAATCCTTGAACCCTTGAAGTCTTAATCCTGGATCTGGATCACAATAATTAAAGTGCAGACCAATGCAAGTTACCACTCGGGGCTTTGGCAATCGTCCCGTCGGGTCCGCAAAGTCGTTTTTTTTTTTTTTTTCTTTTTTTCTCTTTCTTTTCTTTTTTGGTTACCCGTCTCTTACACACAGACGTTTAGATCACCTGCAGCTGTTCTCCCTGGTTGGGTTGTATATTCCAAGGTGGATCTCCCGTCTACCCGGCCTTGATTTTTTGCATCAGTAGCGCTCCAGCCGAGAAAATCCTAGAAAGTACATCATATTTACGGAAATAATGTCTCCAATAGGGATTATGTGTCTTTGACAGGGTCTTTAGTAGCACAGGATATTGTTAAATGGGCCACATATTTGCTGATCACATGGTTGTTTTCTGTTTTCGGCCGGAGAGGGTGTTCAATTCCGATATTTAGAGCAAGGGGTCATTTCTTTGTTTTTCGAACAGCAAGTACTCGATCATGGTTCCCATTTGTGATAGCAGACGTAAATAAGGTAGTACTGATGCAAATATCCCTAACTAGTTTTCGAAAAGATGCGAACGATTGCAAGACTGTTCTAGGTTGATTCGTTAGCGAAATCGGATTAAATTTCAGATATATAATGCGGATTGCTACGAATCTCCAGTATTCAGGGGACATTACTGAATGATTTCTATTGAGATTCTTTCCTAATTACATGAACAGGCGAGTCAACCAGATCATCCCATGAGAGTTACCGTTTGCAACTTTCCATCTTGCATAGTGGCAATTGCATCCACACCAGGTCTCATAGCACCCGTGATACCCTCAACACGATGTGCAATCATAACAATAGTGTGGCCTTGAAGATCATGGCGGAGCATATCTGTCAAAATAGACTCGGTTTCCGAGTCCAATGAAGAGCTAGCTTCATCTAGGATGATAACGGGCTTGTGTGGCTCAGAAGATCGAATTCGCAGCAGTGTCCGGCTTAGGGCAAACAGTTGTAACTGTCCAGTCGAGAATGGCAGAAATGAAGACATAGGAAGATCTAGTAAACTCCGAGTATCAATATCCATGTTAATCTTTTCGACTGTTGGGATGGCCGTCGTCGAATGAATTTTGTCCCAAAGACCTGTCCTCCGGAGACTCCATAATATATCTTGGTCCGAGCTGGTATGGTAGGGATCTAGATTGAACCGCAGACTGGCCGTGGGAATACTGAAACCATCTTGAGGCACCGCAATGAACCCGCGTTTCCGGACAGTTCTCGGGGACAGATAGCCAATATTGACGTCGTCGATTGAAATAGTTCCCTGTCTGGGCCGGAGGAGCTGCAACAATGAAAGCATCAAAGTACTTTTTCCACTAGATAGAGAGAGCGTAGTTAGCCATGGAGGTCGCCGCGCAAGCGATTGGTCTTATTTATTTCCTACCTCCCTGTTCGGCCTATAACAATGACCTTCTGTCCAGGGTTGATGGTAAGAGAGAGATCGGACAAGGAAAGTGCCGCGGACTCCGAATAGGAGACTGAGATGCCATTGACCTGCAAATTGCCGGAAGAGGGCCATTGTAAGTCAGGGTCTATTGTACCCCCGACGTCATCCTCACTAGGGACGCAGTCTTGTATGCTCTTCAGTCGAGAAATGGACCCCAGAGATGTTTCCAGAGACGTCCATGTCTGTACAAGTCGTAGGAGTGTGGTGTTTGCAACGATTAGCAAATTTAGAGCCACGCCAAGATCGGAACCAGTGGTCGTATTCCGATACAGAACGGTGAAAGCGATCAGAATGACTGCAAAAGTTGCAATGATACAATCCATGATCATCTTCAACCAACACTGTAGGCAGAGGAGGATGTAGAATGGCTTTTGAGACAGGTCTAATGATTTGACATTTTCATCCTCGAACTTGTCTTTCCAACCAAACGCTCGGATTGTGACAATGCCACTCGCCTAGGAAAATAATTAGAAGCGAGATTGCTAGCAAGCTCTATGAAAACCACATACCGTGTCTAGGAAATTCGTGAACACCGATGATCTTGACTCCAGCTCAAGGAAGCGCAGTTGTCGGGACGTCCGAAGGTAAATTCGTTGGATGAAGTACACGCATATGGCACAGACTGGCACAGTAACAGCCATAACAGGTCGGATTTTCAAAAGCAGGATCAACTGCATCGCCAGTTTGAAGATTTCTAATTAAAAGGTCAGTAAAGCAAGTAAGGTCGGGGATTGGGCTAATCATACGGGTGTTGAAGTTTGCCAGCGTTGGAGAGAGGTGCTTATCAACGACATTTAAGTCCTGCCCAAACCTGTATATCAAGACATTTGTTCAAAGATGTAATTATTGCCTAGAAAGGAAGGGTGCACAGACCTGTTCACGATAGCACCGAGATCGGTGTCAGTGAAGTAAGATAGAGGTGCCCTATTTTATACTGATCAGTACCCAGTTTATTGGGTATTGGAATAAAAGGGGTTGAAACAAACTTGAGGATCCGATCAAGAAGGTTCGCGTGCAAAACAGCCCCCGAGTTGACAGCGATTATCATTTGAGCGGACCTGAAGAGGATAAGCATTGTTAGCCTATTTGGGTGGCGAATAGACTTACCACGTCGACCCACTAGTTGCTATCCATGCAACTGAGGATACTGCGGCATAGAGAGACATGTAGAAAGCTAAGCTTTCGGGAGGTGATTCTGTCGCCCACTTGAGCACATACTGAGCGAACGTAGAACCGAACGCGAAACCAGCAGTACAAGCAAGCAAAATAAAAACATTCGTTCGGCCAATCGCGTTAATATAATAATCTATCTGAAATCAATAGAAAATCGTAGATAATATGGGCACGTATATCATACCATAGATTGCAAGATCACCGGTTCTCCGAGAGATCTCATCCGCAGCATCGTTCAGGTGTAGCTTCCGAATTGGCGCGGCAACCGTAGGTGTCTCATGGCGTGCAGCACTACTAAATGGCTTTTCCGGCAATTCAGAAACCCCAGCAGAGGCTTTCGGGTCTTGGGAATGAGTCGGGACTTGAAGGTGTAGTCTTGAATCTTGCAGAAGCAGCACTCTATCCGCAATTGGGAACAGGTCCTCTATTCAACCCTTGATGTCAGAAGAGGAGCAATTTACACAGATAATTGCGAACCTACTAGAGTTACTGATCAAAAGTACCGTTGTCCTCATTTTTCGAAACAGACCTCGTGGGCCCAACAACCTTTGCACGATATGATCTGTGACAGCGGGATCGAGAGCACTCAACGGATCATCTAGGACTAGTATCTCGTATTTTGAGTAGACCGCTCGGGCAAGAGCCTTGAATGCTTTTGTCAGAAAAATAGAAGTATGCAAATGAGGAGGGGCCAAAAGGAAAGCCCATACTATACGCTGTTTTTGCCCTCCGGACAAGTTCATCCCATTGTTCTCGATCAGTGCCATGTCACCACCGACAAAAGATTCGAAGTCGGACTCTAGACCGCAGGCTTCGATCACCGTATTGTACCATTCAATATCTGGGTCGACCAAGTGCCCGGATATAGCTTCGCGAATAGCGACGCTAGGTAGCCATGGACCTTGGGCACAATATGCAATCTTCCTTGAAGATACAGAGATAGATCCCTTGGTTGAAGTGACTTCTCCTAGAATTGCCATCGCTAATGTTGTTTTGCCACTTCCAACAGCACCAGCGCAGATCAAAATCTCGCCGCGGTCGAGAGGTTGGGAGACATCAAGAAGAATAGGATTGGCTAATGAAGAAGGTTGGATTGTTATGTCTTGAATTGTGGCCAGTCGTTGAATTCTATCGTGTGGAGAGTATTCCCGGGAGTCTTGAATACTCGGCTGGCTGATATAAGTCTGGATGCGGTCGAAGTTTGACATTACAGAAATAGCCCGAGGAATGAGAGTCATGACCATGTTAGCTGGATGTGTGACCATAGCTAGTAGAGCAAGAGATGTGAATATCTGATCGGCCTGCAATCGATCGCTCTTCGAAGACATAGCGAAGAGAATTAAAGTTAACACTGGAGCGAGGATCCCAAGTGCATTTGCTTGGATAAGAGGTTAGCACCAATGACCACATATCCATCCGTTCAAATCGATACATACCACTTGCATTGTAGGCGACTAGTATCCACCTGAAAGGCTTTGATGTCTGGATCTCCTTACTTCGCAGATGCAATATCTGGGACTGGACTGCACCTTCCATGCCCATTATCTTCAGACTCTTGATGCCCTCCAAAGTTGAAGTGGTTGCGGCAATACGACTTTGTGTTGCCTCGTTCCAGGCTTTTTGTCGGTTCTCCAAGTGCTTTGCAACATACGCGCTCATCCGCGAACATGCTACGAATAGCGGTTAGCACTATTTAACTCTGACAAGTTCCTGTTGGGGCGAAACTTACCGAAGATTATCGCCAATGGCAGAAACGCAAACCATTGTATACGAGAGGCCAACAGTACTGTCCCGGCAACAACCTCCACAAGTCGGGCCCAAGTCTCGTGAAATGTCTCACCAACAGACTCGATGCTGTCAATATCGGAAGTAATCAATGTCAACGCAGAAGAGCCTTGAGACTTTTCGTATGTCAAATTAAGAGAAGTGTGGTGGATGAGACCGATTAGTGCTCCCCGGACCATCACACGCAGCCTATTGATCCGGCTTTGGTAGATTGCTGCTGATACCTAAGTAGTCGCGTGTCAGACTAGTAAAATGGCAAATGACTGTTGGGTTTCGTACCGCCATCCCCATATACACGATTATAGCAAAGAGCAGCAACCGAAGGCCACTATTTGCGCCCAGAGTGGTGTCAGAGGTGCCATTGACAAACTTGATCGCAACTCCAATGAAAATGGGTTGCAGATATGTGAAGAGAATTAGGGATAGGCGCGGTAGTATAGGTGATAGTAATACGCCCTTCAGACACTTCGCTAACACATATGGAAGCTTCCATCTTGTGTGGACGTGGGCTGAGCTGCATATTAGCATTGCATAGCGTTCCCGAAGGAAGAACAAAGAGAAGACCCAGTTAACCTACATTCTGCAGCCCAGGATTCCAGAATTTGTCCTCGTAGTCTCTTTGACGAGAGATTTCCGTCAATCTCGGGTAAATGAGAAACCCCCAGCCTGGCGCTATACCCTTCCCTCAACACTGGATGTAACCACCAGAAGAAGACTTGACCAAGGAGCCCTGCTGCTTCCTCTGGCGTAGAACCAGGCTCTTTGCCACGATATGAGAAGAACCCCCTGGCTCGTAGACCCCAAACCAGCCAGATGCCCTCCAATAAGGCCCTAGATTTGATCAAGTAACAAGCCCCAGTGCTTGAGCAGCTTGCGATGACTCGCAATTCCAAGAGGTCTCTTGTTAGAGAGCATGTGAGGTGAACTAGGATAATTCCTGATGGGCCGGTAGATATTTTTTGTTCTAGAATCGATAGCGAAACAGCTGCAGTCACCGCTACCAGGACTAAGATGGTATCCACAAGAATGCTAAGGCTTGCATCGGGATGACTCCTTAACAAAAAGTACCAAAAGTAAGCCGAGTGGATTGCAAGGAAAACAATGGGAAATATCTACGGTGCGTCAGTAATATGTAGAAACAAATGAACTTCCCGAAAACAGTAACCAACCAATTTCTTCTTGCGCTGTGAGATAGCTGGCTTTATATTGGACCGTCGACGATAGCGGATTTGTCGGAGTAAACAAAAAATCAAGACGAGGGACAACACGATTGATCCAGATGTGCCGTTTGACAATATTTGGAGAGTCATGGTCATTGGTTTCAAGGCTCAGCCTACTTTGGTCAATTCCCCGCGTTTCGTTAGATGTGATGTGGAGAGGTGCCAAAGATATGGACAAACAGATTGCCCAGCTAGTTAGGCAAGGCTAAGGAAATAAAAATGCCGACTTTGTTTTTCTCAATTTCTTTGGCCGTTCCCGCTTGCTGCTTATCCAGACACAGATTTCACGCTCAACTCCGAAAATCTGTTGGACAGTCAGCAAACATGAACCCTGCAAATGGGCTACTTCGTACTAAAATGTCTCATGTTGGTTAGGGGGGAATTGTGTGGCTAGCGTCAGGTGACGAAAACAAGCACAAATTAAACGCGATTGTGTGCCTTATCTACTAATGATGCATTACAAAAGGATCCCAGTCTATAAATATCCTCAGTCCACAATCTTGACTAACAGCACTCAGCCGAATATGGACATGAGACTCTAACGATCTAGTTTATCTAAGTCAAGATGATACGAAACACGGTATATTAAGATAACACCGATATATTTTTAGATGTCTTTTTGGCGCGAAAGAGAGAATTTGACATGAAAATGACGAATCTCAAGCTGGTAGCCTAAAGCCACAATTTTTGATAGCATCCCTCAGATCTCTTGCCCTCTCTCTCTCTTCCTTTGTTCCTTCCTTCCCCGTCCATTCAATAGCCGACTATTGAGCTGTATTGTGGAAGTCTTTCGCATTGACTATATCAACTTGTGGCGTTGTGACTTGGAGCTTACACAAGGTCGGAAAAGCTAGATTGAAAAGAGAATAAGTCGAAGACAACAGTGGGATTCATTAAAACTAGGCTAAAAGTTATTTTCGGGTCTTCCGAATGGAAGATATCAAAACAATCTGAGTATGAAGCAACGCTCGCCCAATGCAATATCCGGTCCCTGATAGAAAGTAAAGTGAGATGTCTCAAAATGGGGGAACAAAAAGCAAAACGTAAATGAAAATGCAGGCACCTGTGCGTTTTTCTCCCTTCGACAGGAGCGTAGTTCGAAGGAGCTGGTGGGGTTCCTATGTTGCTTAAACATTAGAGAATAAGGATATGGGCATGTCACTCGCCTCGGGAAAAAGAAAAAAATCAGAGCTTTTGAATCGCCAAACAGATGAGGTAGAAGGAAAGAAAGACAGCAAAGAGGAACAAATGTCCCAACATGCGCGAAGAAAGTCGCCTTGTCGAGACAATGCTCGATGAGTAAATCGTGAGAAGCACTCAACCTCAGATACGGAATCACTGACCATCTTCAACAAATGATCGACGCTTTATCCGTGCGAGCAGTATCAATCCTCGTCATCGAAATCCCAGTATTGCGGGATGGGATGGGCTCGAGGACATCACCACCATTCGCAAGACGCTCCTCCCTCTCCCACTCCAACCGCTCAGCCTCCTTGATAAGCTTGAGCTCCTGACAGAACTTGCTGTTTGCTCTGATGCGGTCACCGTAGCGAATAAAAGCAAATGGAATTACGGAGACGCCGAGACTAATAAAGGCAATCAAACTGCAAGCCCAAGGAACACCGAGCCGGTTGAACATCGGCTTAGCCGCGAGCGGGAGCACAGCTCCAAAGATACTCCGTGTGCAGCTTGCGGCTGACTGTGCGCTAGCGGAGAGGGTCTCGTATGCGTCGGTCATGTAGTTCAGCATGGCCATGAAAATTAACAGGTAGCCCATTCCGAACGGGATGCCGGAGAGGAAGGGGACGACCCAGTGGATGTTCGGCGAGGCTGTCCAGCCTATCCAGAAGAGGGAGATCACGTATAGGGGTCCACCAATGCAGGCGAGGGGAAGTCTGCGGTATTCCTCGATGAAGGCCCAGTTGGCGTTACGGGCCTTTGCTCGGGCTAGGAAGCCATCGTACCATAGGAAGACGAAACAAGCAAGAACGGCGCCGATGCCGACTGTTGTGTAGAAAATCAGAATCTACTCATTTTTAGTTTAGAGAAAGGAGATTTGCATAGACTTACTGGGCATAAACATCAAGCCAGACACACCAGGGCTCATTTTGTAGATATCTGCATGATGTTCGTTAGTGTCTGTCTCCAACAGGGTTGTGCATAAGCTAGCTGGGATAGGTCACCGACCTTGGAAGATAATTGGATACGCCTCAAAGTAGAGGTAGAAGATCGCATAAGCCAGAGCAAGATACAACGAACTCAGAGAGACGATATACTCATGAATAATCATGCGAAATGGTCGTGATATCGTGATGAGAACCATTTCTCGCAGATTGCGACTCTGAGCCTCCAATGGCGATACGATGCTTGAATTCCCAGTGTCTTTGCGTAGCTTTTGCGCACGACGCTTCAAAATTACCGGGGCATATGTTTCAGGCATGAAGATAATCAACGGCAAGGTAGCGCCTGCCAGAATGAGTCCAATCCAAAAACACCAACGCCAGTCGACAACTGCCACGAAGCCAGATACCCAAGGTCCGATGATTGGCCCGAGGGTTGTACACTGTTAAAGAATTAGCTTTTAGACCTGAGTACTCTAGTTAAATGTATGCAGCAAACTTACAGCCATGAAATAAGCCATCAGCCGACCTCGCAGTGTAGGATCATCATTCACATCCGCAAACAATCCGCCGACGGTAGCGATGGGCGCCGACGCAACCATTCCATTGAATAATCGGAAGACAAGAAGAGATGCATATGAATCCGCGACAGCGCACGCCAGCGTGAATATCATGAATAAAACAAAAGAGATGAGCAAAGGGGGCTTCCGACCAAAATACTCGGAGCTAGGACCCCATAACAATGGCCCTACGACATAGCCGATGAGAAAGATGGAGATGGGCAAGACAAGCATTGTCTCGTTGGTGATGTTGAACTCTTCGGCAATTTGGGGGATGGCGTTGCTACAAATTGATGAGCCGATAGTACTGTTCATGACCTGCATGACACCAGCTGCGAGAACAAGGAACTTTCTCCTCTATTAGACATATCAGTACTCTTTTCTTCGCCTTGCTTCTTTGTATTAGGTAATATCCCACATACTGTTCTCCAGTTAACGGGGTTTTCAGGGTCATTAGGCCCGAATGAAACAATCGTTTTGGAAGCCACTTGGCGGAATCTAGAGTACGAAGGGTTTCCATAGCGTTGTTGGATGGGCTCATGGTCGACTTCCGAGTCTTGGCCTTCGGAATCATGAGAGTGATGTGACTCATGAGATGGAGCCACTACGTGCTCTATACAACAGTTTCAGTAATTGGAACTCTTAAGATACAATGTAGAAAGCATCGGCAAAGAATATAAATGACTGACCTGTTGCTGACATGACCTTTTCCACATTTTCCTCGGTAGCAACATGGTCCGACATCTTGTCGACCTTGGCTTGACAAAATCGACGGTTTGTACGCTAGGTGAAGGCCTAGGCGGGATGCAGGAGTTATAAAGGGTTCAAAGTTGAAAATGCCCATCCCCACACAGTGGCAGTGGATATTTGACTCACGCAAATAAAAGTTTGTTTAATGTGGATTCGACTCCACATCCATAGAGCAATTTCTGATTGTACGCCCTAACTTTGACAAATCGAGTCGGGACGCAAAGCCAGTTAGGAAAATACAGCAGAGACTAGCCTTCCCTGTCAAAATAGGCACTTGGTGGTGTGGATCACTAGACCTGGCTCGGGTAGGACGGCTTTTCCCCCAAAAACAAGAGCCAAGCAACTGCGGATTGCTAATGTGGCAACTGAAAATGTAACTACATATACGAAATATCACATGGGATCTCGGATAGAAGACCGATTATCACAATCCTTGACAGACTGACACATGTCGCTTGCGAAACTACGAAGGCCCATGTAAATCTTGAAGCAAACATCTCGACCGCATGCATTTAGTCATTTGGATATTGAATTCTCCAATGGGTGATTATGGGTTAAGACCCTGCCGATCAATCCATTGGTCTTGTATTAGCAATTGCGCCAGATAGTTTTCCTGTCATGTAAGTGAGGACCAATGAGGCAAGTACTTGTTCCCATGATATGCGTGATTTGCGTAGTGGATTTGTTAACCCGATCCAGCTATAGCCAATTCTCAATATGAGGAAGCTCTTTGTAGCGGGGACGCCAATGCTGGACACAACGGGAACGGGGTATTCCACACTTCGTGGGCTCGACTTACAAAGTATATATTTTGTTCGCGGAGAATGGATCCGAAAGTGCTCCACATAAAGTAAGCGAACGATGCCGGTTCGGGGGTATGCTGTCTCTTCCGATATGTAGGCCTTGGGTAACTCGTTTCTCGGGGGTTGGGCTGATGTCGGCTAAGCTAAGATTCCCCGGTGTCGTTTCCGGTTGCGTGCTGACGGGTTCGGCTTTCTACCCGATCTGCCCTGACCGCCCAAAAATCATGAGAACAAGAACCAGGAAGAGACACCTGCAGCCAAAAAGGCCCCACAGACAATATTCTTCGGAAAGAAATTGACTAATGTGTGTATGTGTGGCTATCAAATATTTTTGTCAAGTGGCAGGGGATTCCAAACTTAAGTGGCAGGGGGTTCCGACGCACACCCCTAGTCGTCACTATATCCTGCCTCAAGCATTTTGATGTACGCAGGCAACAAGGCATCCCCGAAGACACCAAGAACGTTTGATTAAACGTTAGAAATTGTACATTTATGGGGGAGGCGAATGCAATAGCATCATCATCGCTTAGATGTGTCTTCAACGTCCACACATTGACACAACATTACACCAACCTGACAGATAGGAAAGTTATCGTCGCTACCCAGGGACTTCCCTTTCGTTTGGTGGACTTGAAGGCACTGCTCCGAGGCAAGTCTACCCAAATAGGTTGAGGTAGTATCTCTGTTGTCATATTTGAGTAACCAAAAGTCGTCAATTTTCAATTGTCAAATGTACATATGTACCTACCCCTTGCGCATTTGCAAGACATCGAGGGAACAAGACTACAAATGGAGGCTCAAACCCCCCAATAATTTTTTTCAATCCTGCTCAATTCTGGGAACAATGTATTATAACTTCATCACCAACGAGCACAAGTATTAGAAATTAAATCTCAATATAAATTAGTGTCTATCCACGGTTAACCACAGGGATATTCTGTCGCATAATTAGAAGCCGTATATGTTATCGTTGCTAATATGAAACCATTAGTTAGTATCTCAATGCCTGGTTCCTTAACATCGAAAGCCCAAGTCTTGGTGGATGGAACTCACAAAGGCCGATTGATTCCATTTCTCCCCTCCGCTTGAAAGTTCACCCAGACACTAACATTCATAGCGGCGACTGGGAAAACTCCATAGCCACAGTTATTAATGAGTACCGTCTCGTCTCGCCAGCCGAGAATATCTGTCCACAATTCTCCGGCATGTCCGTGACCAACAAACATGCGCTTGTTCGATGCGCCACCGTTGCTGAGGATACAGGCAAGACCGAATGGGTGTTTATAGCTCCCATAGCGCACGAATCCTGTACAACTGTAAGAACTAACAATTCACATCCAGGGAAACCATACTTACCAATGCAGTTCCGTCTTTTGAAGTAATCTCGTTGCTCCCCGTGTGCATATAGCTTTCGGGCACGCGTAAGTATAGGAAGCATTCCGCTGCATGATGGCCCCGGTTGGGGCTCGGGTCCACCATTGATTCCATAGATATCTCCGTAAAAGACACATGGCTGCCCTTGGCTTCGAAGGAGGATTAACGAGTATGCCAGAGGTTTGAAGAAGGGTGCAATGATAGTCTGTCGGGAGCTTAAGTTCTCATCCACGCCTCAGGGCTTTATAATGCTGCAAGTTGGGTGTATCTCACCTCTAATGATTGTCCAGGTTGCTGTGAGATTGTAAGCTTCAGCAAAACAATACAAAGGGTCTTCAACATACGGTATCATGATTGCCAACAAAGGTCTGACGGTGAAAGTGATGGTTAGCGTCAATCATTTCCTAAGATGATCGAGTCTTACTACAGCGTGTGATGGCATCTGCTCTACCAACGTGCCCTTGAAAATCTTCCGTAGATCGCCACCTGCCATCTTGGAAATAGCTGCAAACCGGCCCATAAGTGGCACATCAAACAAGGAAACCCCATAATCCATTAATTTGAGATACCCAAGAAGCAGACCCACCTCTCCTCTCCAGTACTCTGCGACTAAGAAGTAATCAGCACCAACTGTATTGCGCAAATGTGTCACAAATCCCTTCTGAAAAGTGGCGGAATAATGCTTTGCTGCATCGATTCGCATTCCACTGATTGGTAATTCGGTGCCAATCCACTCTCCCCACTTCAATATATCAGCTTGAACCTCTGGATGGGAATGGTCGAGATCGGCGAACATCAGGTAGTCGTAATTTCCGTGCTCATCACTCACGTCCCTTGCCCAGTCTTTGTTCTGCCCCAGTGTCTTGTATATTGCATGCCGCTGGGTCGCATCGTCCCAGTCCACACCAGTAAAATGTTGCCAGTGATACTTCATGGGGCTATACTTCTCACCACGTCCCGGAAAGTCGAAGCCGACCCAACCAGAGATGGTCAGAGGCGGAGATATTTCAGTGTTCCGATCTGCAAGGATTTTGACGTCTATAAGCATTCTGGTCTTCTCTGTATCACCGGAGAAAGAATCACCTTCTGGGTCCATCTTGACGACTGTGAACTTCTCAGTCGAATCTGCCCCAGCCTTCTGGTTCAACACAGTATCCCAGTAAATCCCAATGTTCATATCTTGTGCGGCCTGTACCAAGCTCTGGAGGTCCTCCTTCGGGCCCCATCGCGTGGCTCTGGTGCCCTTCTGGTCGAATTCCCCAAGATCATACAGATCGTAAATATCGTATCCAATTCCAGATGGGTTCATCCCCTTGCACCCAGGCGGAATCCAGATATTGTCGACTCCGATGTCTTTCAGATCGGGTATCACCTTCTGGAGGCGCTTCCAATGGCGTTGGTCAGCTGGCACGTGCCATTCGAACCCCTGCATCATGAGTGTATTTTCGGGGGGAGACCACGACTGCTTTTCATCAAGTTCAACGGTATCTACTCAATATCTAGATGATTAGCTAATAGCAGGAAATGCATGGAAATAAGGGATTCAAGAACCCTCGATTTCTCGCCACTTCTTGGCCTCTCTCTGGTTCTTCAAACAGCAGCTTAGGAATGACAGCATTTGGTCGATGAGTGTCTCTATCGCGAAAATAATCGTATTGATGTGATTCTGGGCCAGTTACAGTCTCAGTGGTGTAGAGAGAAGAAATAAGGACATCCTACAATCTTCAGATATACCAACGTCTCCAAAAATCAGGGCTGGGCGGAACTAACGAGTGACACTGACACAGCCTGCTGTACGAGATACATTGGCTGGTAAATATTCAAACCCCTGCTCGTTAGGTTAGAAAAGCAAAAGCACTCTAGTTTTGAAAGATAGGATAAATACTTAAATTAACATCTTCCTATTGATATGAACAAAAATCCATATATTCGTCTGCTTCATAGAGGTTTCTTTGTGCAGACTGTCCCAGCTGCGCTGTGGCAACATCTAGGACATATCCACCCCCCAGTGAGCTTTGTACAAATAGTCAATGCGATGAATCTGTGTCACAAATAGTTGACGCGTCGATCTCGGGCTACAATAAATATAGGTAGAGCATGGAAGGTCCGTGCTATATTGCACAGTACAAACATCTCGGATCGTAGGAACCAAGTACAAGTGTAGCCAATCACACGACTTGTTAGGAGTGACTAAAAGAGACTTGGCTCTAGGTATTGATTCGTGGAAAAGCAGGCTGCCCAGGTGAGAGCTGTAAATGACTTAACGAAAGCGCCTTTCCAAGGTTCCGAGGCTGGAAATGCCTCAAAGTAGCAGTCTCGGCGTTGTGGTTAACAATGGTAACGAATTGTAAATACGTGTCCACAGTGGGGATGTGGCTGGTACGTGGCGGGGTACTGTTACGGCCAACTGACCCTTTTCATTATTTTTTATGCATTCACATTGCTTAAAATAGACAGCTCTAGAGATCTTCTATATTGACAAAGCTATGATAAAATTTTTCACGCCTCAGGTCTCACTCCTCAATCCCCTCCATCGTCCGCTGAGCATCCCTTGCTGCGGTTCTCACTTCGTCTCCAATCTCTTCTATTATAGCCAACTCGCCAAATCTCTCCTTCCAAAACTGCCACCTCTCGTTACAAAACCCGTGTTGACCTTTCCAGAGCGGGCCTCCTTTCCCGAGAGCGCCATCAAAACCTTCATTCCACTGATAGATACCTGCCCCGAGAATATTGATCCACGCAGCAGCAGCAGGAATCAATGCTTCTAGTTTCCCCCCGGATTGCTCTGTTGGTGTTTCCAGTGCCTCGCGTAGGGTAATCAGCGCAAACCAGGAGTATGCAAAGACAGGTTCTTTTGTCGCCATTAACCGTGCGGTGAATCTGTCCCGGCTAATAATTCGCGAGATTGCGTTTTGACGAGAGTCGGGGGGTCCAGCTGGTACGGATGCATTCCACTCATCGCGGAATTGCCAGCCAAGCATGGGTAGATCTTTCCAGACTTGCATATCGTGGAGCGAAATGGGATCTCCGTTTGACGTTGTTGCATTTGGGAGTTTTGAGAGTTGGACTAGCACATTGACGAGTTTGTCATGGCGATCGGGGAAGTCATATGCACACTTGAATATCAAGCTCCATAGGCTGGTAATTCCCTCCTCGGGATCTGAGTCATTTGCCAAGGATATTGAAGCCAAATAGTCAGCGGCTTGCTCTGCAGATATACTGTCGCTGAAGAGGTCTTGCAGAATCGCAAATCGAGGGGCAGAAATATCCTCTGTGATGGCGACCATTTTCAGAGATCGTTGATCGGAAATAGGTTTTCGTATATGGTGAAGAACAGCTGTAGTGATCTTGTAATTTTCTAGACTCAAGGTCCAGGGATTTAATTGTTTTCTTATCACCTCGCGTGAATATTCGTCATATCAAAGCTCCATAGTAGCCTCGTGGCCTTTATCTGCTGATCTTATTGGTTCTGATTCCAGGGTTACATAGCTTCACCTAAAATTCGATAGCCCTGAGTACGCTAAGCCAGGGTACTGCGGCACTATTTTGTCATGACGGCATGCATTTTTGAAATGCCTCGGTCCTTTTTGGGAAATCAACTTGACCTTGTTATATCCGTATATCGATTTCACTTACAGCCCTTATTTTTCATCCAATCAATGAGATAGATAGCTTCAACCACAGGCTAGATAGTACCCCAAAATTTGATTACATCATGAACTAGAAAATGCCCAATCATTTTCTGCTAGGCAATAGTCTAGATATAGCTATATAACTTATGTAGTTTCAAGGTTGTATACCAGAATTTATAGATAATATAACACAACGGCCGCAAATAGCCACCTTGACATGTCAGATTAATAAGTGTCCACTGTGACGTAGGGAGAGAGTTGTGGCTGGTGCGGACAATCTCCCAGTTCCAACGTGGGTCTGATATTGCATTGTGAATTTGTATGTACAATATACTCCGTAGCATACAGTGCAATGTGCCCTATTCTAACACTTCAATCCCATTACTATGAGCCTTGGAAAATAGCTTGGAATGCACCCCTATCAAGTCCCTTTGCGGTTCCTCATCCCGCCTATTTCCGGCACCGGGTTTTAACCACCAACATCCGGGATGACGTCTAATAGCCAACCTCAACCTCAAGTTGAAGGTTTGATATAATTGTATCAAGATAATACATAACAATTGACTATGTAGAAAGGATTGCGAATAAAACGCTATGCGGTTGACCGGGCGATCGGAGCTTAGTGTGGCTACCAAGTGGCTCCCGCATTGGCCGCGAAAAGTTTTCGGGTTCGGCGGCCCCATCCCTTTCAAATCCTTTCTTCTTCTCTTCCACTCCTAAAGGCTTCAATTGCATCCCATCCTCTCCTCTCATTTTAACGTTTTTCTTTACGTTATTTCACATCCATCAAAATGGCTGCCCCTACCGCCCCCAAGCAGGAGATGAGCGCTCTCAGCCTCGTATGTTTTGAACCGAAACTCCATAATGCTTTAAAAACTGACTCGATTCTTGCTTCCAGTACTCTCGCTTCGCCTTCGCCGGTGCCATGTGCTGCGCTATCACCCACGGTGCTGCCACTCCTCTCGATGTGTAAGTTTCTGAAACTATCGCTAGTGCGCGAACAAGAATTTCCGCTCATACCCGGTCCTCCACAGCGTCAAGACCCGTATCCAGCTTGACCCTGTCACCTACAACCGCGGTATGCTCGGTGGTTTCCGCCAGGTCATCCAGAACGAGGGTGCTGGCGCTCTCCTGACTGGTTTCGGTCCTACCGCCGCCGGTTACTTCCTCCAGGGTGCCTTCAAGTTCGGTGGATACGAGTTCTTCAAGCAGCAGTCCATCAACGCCCTTGGCTACGAGACTGCCAAGAACAACCGCACCGCCGTCTACCTCGCCTCCGCCGGTGCCGCTGAGTTCATTGCTGATATCGCCCTGTGCCCTCTCGAGGCCACCCGTATCCGTCTTGTCTCCCAGCCTACCTTCGCCAGCGGTCTCCTCCCTGCCATGACCCGCATCCTGAAGGAGGAGGGCATCGGTGCCTTCTACTCTGGATTCGGACCCATCCTGTTCAAGCAGTAAGTTTTTTTTCCACCCCCAACTTCGGCATATATATCCTTTGAAATTCCCACTAACTCGAACTTCCCACAGGGTCCCCTACACCATGGCCAAGTTCGTCGTCTTCGAGAAGGTCTCCGAGGCCATCCTCGCCAATGTCAACAAGGAGACTCTCTCCGACGGTGGCAAGACCGGTATCAACCTCGGCTCCGGTCTCATCGCCGGTCTCGCCGCCGCCATCATCTCCCAGCCCGCCGACACCATGCTCTCCAAGATCAACAAGACCCAGGGTGCTCCTGGTGAGGGTACCGTCACCCGTCTGATCAAGATCGCTAAGGAGCTCGGTATCCGTGGTTCTTACGGTGGTATCGGTGCCCGTCTCTTCATGGTTGGCTCCATCACTGCCGGTCAGTTCGCCATCTACGGTGACATCAAGCGCATGCTCGGTGCCACTGGTGGTGTTGAGATCGGTAAATAAACAACTCGAGTCTAATATGCTCGGGAGGATTATAGAGACTACCCTTAGAATTCTTTTTGTTTTACGCCTTGTCCATCCCCCACACACGATGTACAATATTTTGTCTCAGTTTCCTTTCAAGAACAAGCTCGCCATTTTGTCACATTTACAATTGTTTCCTTTTTTTTTTTTTTCGTAAAGTAACAGTATTCAGTCATTGATTACGTATTGACGATTTGGCACCCGAGTATATTTGTCTAGTCTTGAGAAGGCTTGTGCCACTACAATGTACGCTGCTGCTTCGAGGGCTTGTATCTAGGAGGAGCTTCTGTGGTGGTTCGGCCGGTTTATTCGGATGCCAATGCACTTGACTATGAATATAATAGCTGGGAGTTTGATGAGGCTAAGGAAAAGGAGTTATAGAGGCTTGGTGAATTTTGGGTTGAATCGGAAGTCGATTAGGACGATTCGCAATATATTCATGTCCAGTCCTGACAGATTCTAAATTTGGAGATAGTGGCTTTTTATCTGTGGTTCCATATAAAAATATAAGATATCATTCGTTTGCATTTGAAAATGTTGGAAGATATCCCCAACATACTGACGTTGATCCTATAGTTCGAGACGCCGAATTCAGAATTCATAGCAGAATTTTTACAATTTTACGATGGATATAGACGTTGACTATTTAAATCAGTCATCACGAGTCAAAATAGAATTTGTCGACTATTTTTTCCTTATCTCTCTTCATCTCTCCCTCCCTCTCTCTCCCTCCCTCTCTCTCCCTCCCTCTCTCTCCCTCCCTCTCTCTACATCTCCAATACCCCCTATTACAAAATCTCCATATATTTTTCGTCTCACCATTGATGACAGTCATGTTATCCCCCCCCCCCGACTTCGTCATTCTCATACTATTGATTGCCGTGGTCATCTTGTGGGGTTTCGTCGCCCTTTACTTCGTCGTGTTGTACAATTTCTCCCGGATAATAGACCCAGACCCTCGGGTTCTTATAACATGGAAACTATCTATAACTAGGCATCCAGTTCCACATATGGAAACACAACCCCGGTGTTGCCAAAAGGAAACATAGGGATGGCGTCTGTACCCTTGGTGCAGCGCTGCACCAAGGATCCAAGTCATCGTTCATTTCAAGTTTTCCTCGCTTCAAACAGAGAATTTGGATGGACCCCGGACATTTTCTGTCCAATATTGAATGGGAATTTTTTAGCTTACGCTATTAGAAGTGCCCTGAGTTGCCATATATTTGGTTGGGACGACCTTAGAATTCCTTCAACGCCTTGCCCATCCCCAACACACGATGTACAATAGCTATTTTATTCCAGTTCCCTGTCAAGAACAAGCTCGCCATTCTATTACATGCTCCACTTCTATCATAAAGTAGCAGTATGTTAGCCTGATTATGTATTGACGCCTTAGGTGCAAACAAATTGAATTTCAAAAGGAATTGAATTTCAAGAGGCAGGTTGAGAGATGATGGCAGGAATAGCTACGAGGGCAGCAATACCTCATACCAGTCATATCGGTGCTAGAGAGAGTTTTTATATTGACCTGGGAAGGGTGGAGTATAAGGTCTTCCAGAGCAAACAGAGGTGGAGAGACAAAGGGAGAGCAAATAAAAATAACGCCATCGCTACCAAACGAACGGCGACCTGACAAAAAAGAATTTTGGGGGAGAGATAGGTATATATATATATATATGGGAGGTCCAGTGGTAAGCAGCGCCTCGTCGCTTATGCAGCGCCATGTCGCCAGCTTGTCCATAGGCCCAATCCCCAGATAGCTTAGGCATGTACACTTCAATTTATGTTCAAATTAAGACAAACACGGGCACAATTATCACATTGCACTACTTCAAACTGCACTACAAAGCAATATCCCTCACAGAGAATCCATCCACCCCGAGGCCATCCTCTTTCTCTACCACAAAGGAATGATATCCGGTATAATACGCATATCCCTCGACACACACTCGAACAATCCGTTGGTCTACTCCACTTGTACTAACATCATCAAAGACGGACCCAACAAATCCAGAAAGACCTCTGTATGCACGAGTCACCAGAGAATTATAGACCCTCTTCTCACCCGCAGGCAAAGACCCTTTGGCATGTGCGAGGGCCACCCTCGCAGCGACACAGCCTCCAGTGGGAGACCGGTCAATCTGCTGGTTCGCAAAGAAATAGAGCCCCGTCTCCTCACTACTAGCCTCCAGTTGCGCACGAGCGGCCGCTGTCCCTTCCGGGGCACTAACATGTCCCAGTCGCGTATCCGTGACCATAATCCCGTACAACGCCCCTTCCTCAGAAGTCCGAATATCCCGAGTGAGATGTTTCAAATCCGGATTGGTAACCACCGCCTCCTTGAGCAACTTAGTCGCATGGTCCATCTCCTGCAACTTAATTTCACCCAGTCCGCTAGGAAAACCCAACTCCTCGGCGCTGATCATACAATAATACGCACCCCCATAAGCAAAGTCCGCCGTAACAGCAGTCTTGCCCCGAAGCTCGGCCCAGCGATACTTCTGTGGAACAGGAATCTGAAAGGAGACAGCTGTTGCAAACGACGGCACAGACACAAACGAAACAGGCCGCGACGCATCCGACTTCCCAGACGCCAAGGTGGGGACCACAACCTCGACCACCCCACAGGGCACATGCAGATTAAGAGCCGTTGTCCGCGACACAGGGTCATACCTCAATTCCTTCCGACGAGGAAATACCTTCTCATCAACATCGACAAGGA